GAGGGGATAGGGGGATGAGGGGACACGGGGATGAGGGGACAGGGGGATGAGGGGACACGGGGACGGGTGAGGGAACAGGGAGTCCGGGGACAGGGCCGGGTGATGGGTCTGGCTGCTGCAAGGAACAAGTGGGTAGTCCTGGAGACAGGGATGGAAATATCCTAGAGCCTCACCTGTCTCGAGGTTCATTTAAGCCCTTGCTGAAGTTACCCGTGTTTAACCCCCCTTTGCAAACGAGCAGCAGTCAGTGCTGGCCACACAAGCCCTGGTGTTACACTGCACAATGAGGCGCGTTCAGGGCCAGCTGAGGTGCGGGTTGATGCAGACAAACCCCTATGGTGGGTCCCTGCCCGTTCCCCCTCCCCACCTGCTCCCTGTCTTTACAACTTCCTACAGTCGGCTGGGATTGTCTTCTCGAACAGCATCATTTCAGAGGGATTTGGAGGATTCTCAAATTCTGTCAGCTATACAAATGGACATCATGTAGCACCATGTGAGAGAGTCACTTACTGTCAGAAATAAAACTGTACCTGCTCCTGCCCAACCACCTCAATGAGAAAGTGAAGAACATCAGCATTTTGTCGCCCCAGAGGAGCTCTTTAATACAAGGATACAGAAAGGATCCAGGTGTCTAGGTTACATAGCTTGTTTCTCAAGGTATGGGTAAGTCACAGTAAGTCCTCCCAGGTTCATTGCACATCTCTGCAGCACTGATCAGAGTCCAGCACTCGGCACACAGGACCTCTGGACGCCCCTATTTCCCTCGGGATGCCACCGCTTGCTTGCATAGAATCCTGGTGATATACAGGGTGAGCCGTGCCCGCATCCACTCCGGCAGGCGCTCGGCCAGCGCCAGCTGTGCAGAGCCACGCGAGGGGACGGCACAGGGAAAGGAAGGGACACGTTAGAGACATGCCATGAAACAGGCTCAAATCACTACCAAAGCAAGGCAAAACCTGCTTGAACATCAGCACCTAAGCCTTAAATTCAACCCCTTGGGAGTTAAGCTATTTAGCCGTTATGGAAGCAGCACCCACCCCTGAACAGTAAAGTTCTGCAAATAAATCCTAAAGCAGTCTGGACAAGTTCCCAATAGGAATACTGTCCACTGGCTTCAATTGCCACATCTTGCCAGAATTCTTCCCATCTCTTTTATTCCCTTTGGACTAAACCCCACTTCTTCACTTCCTTCTATCAGCCTCATGCTACAGGAAATCAGCAGGCAGGATACATGAGATGTGGCCAATATGCATAAAACAATCTGCCCCAAAAAATGAAAACCCTAACAAATAGAGAATCTGCTTCCAGATAAATTAGAACAAAAGTATGGGGGTTTTTTCCCTGCTATTATTCTATCCTCCCTACCCACCTTTCCCCAGTACAGAAATATGCTCCATGCACTGACTGAAAAAAGCTATTTCTGTTCACAGAAGACAGTTCACCAGTCAGCAACACCCCAAGTGAAATGATACTCTCTGCCCATTAATAAAAAGTTGTTACTTCCACATTTTTGCAGCACATTTCAAGTGGGAATTGGATTTGCTCTCCCATCTTAAAAATAAGCATGCCCAAGCATAATTTTCTAAAGCAGAACTAGTCAGAAAACACGGCAGAGTGCCTTGAAGTCCTACAATACATATTGCACTTTTTCAGAATATGACCAGAGTTTTCATTGAGACTCCTAAGAAAATAAACACTTGATTTATTTCTACATGACAAATAGTTGAATATTTCCACATGAAATATTGAATGAATTCCATTACCAGGATTTCATGCTTCCAGTAACCAGCAGTCCTTGTGGATACCCCAAGAGTAGAAACAGCATGACTTGCATATTCTTCAGCAGAAGGTAACAAGAAAGATCTCTTTGACAGAAAGCTGCTGAATGCTACCATTTTTGTAGCAATTGGGCTTGGGATTAGACTTTGAACAAAAATTCCTTTTGAGGCATACTCCTGATGTATTGCTCTACTGAAATAGTCCAAGTATATCTAGAAAGACAAGAGCAGAGAGACACCTTTTTTTTCTTTTTTTTTTTTTTTTTCCCAAACAATGAAATGTCAGGGCAGTCTTATTAACTTATTAACAACAGAAAAGTTGTAACATACTTAATAAATCAGCTCAATAAATAAAAACTTGAATAAACAGTACAAAAATACGCACTTTTAAGTATTATCAACATTTCTGTGTGTTATTTGTTTGCTGTAAACCTGCCACAGTAGAGCAACTTGCAGGACAAAGTGACTGGTTAACAAAACCTGACAATTTCTGCTTAAAGACAATACAGAAACATTTATTTCATCAAAAAAACACACCTTGTTTAGTTTGGGGGCATTATAGGCAGCTATACCTAGTCAGAAGGCCAAAATAAAGTCCTATTCTTTACTACATTTACAGGGGAATTTTGCTTTCAACTGCCCTCCCCAGACCCCAGGTTAGTTACTTCCTGGGACTCCCTTATGTAGAATTATTCCTTTGTTTATGAGTATCTGCGTTACCTCCTTTAGCTCATTTTACTGTTCCAGAACAACAAAAGCACAAGACTGGTCAGTGGGACTGGTGGAATCAGACAGGACGAGGCTGCCTCAGTCTCATCAGGGCAGCACCACTGCTGCCATGGTGCTGCTGCTGCCCTGCCACACGGCCACTTACCCCTGACAAAGGGCATTTCACAGAGCAGCTTGTGAGCAAACGTGTTTCTGCTCCCCAGCTGCCTCACAAAAGGCTTTCCCAACACTGGGGAAGCATCTTGTACAAATGCTCTTACAAGTGATTTAGGAAAACTAAAGCAATCACTTCAAACACTGTGCATTGTTAGTGCACCCAGAGGCTGAGAACGCTGGAGCAGCTTGTTCTCCCTTCTGTGTTCTGAGGCCAGGCTTAAGACTGGATTGCTGATCTAGGAACTGCATTAATGCTGCCAGCTAAATAAAGGAACTTTGGTCTATTTGGGTTTGTTCCTTCTCTTTCAGTCAAGCTTTTTAATTGTTTTAGTTCAGAGTGCAGTTCCACTCACAAAAGCTGTCCCAGGAGCAAGGCTACAGCAGACAGCTGCCACTGACAGCTGGGAGCAAGGACCTCTGGTGTTTAGACACCACATTTAGGCCAGATCCTTCTACAGCCAGCAGCATGTCACCCAGTGTAAATCCACACCAACGAGAGCATTCACACTGCCAGCATCACCCACCTGCCCCATCCCATTCACTACTGACTGGGCCTTCTCAGGGTGGATAATTATGGGGGCAAAGTTCCTTTCACTTCTCCCCACTATGGTACAATGGTGTAAAAGCCTTCCACCCCCTGGTGTTCAGTGAACCAGTGGCCTGATTTGGCCACAGCCCTGTCATAATGGTGGCTTGAGCCTCTTGCTACCAAATACTGGTGTGTAGGAGACTTGAAGTACGTCTGCACAGTTCAGCTGAATAAGAGAGATTAAATTCTGCCACTCTGCTTTGTGCATCTGAGAAAAGCAACATTTCTCCTAGAATTACTGTTATGCCACAGCTCACACAAAATCAAAGAGCACTGACTTTGGTTCACAGCCCAGCACTGGTGAGGATGAAGAGTTTACTGCATAATACATGTATCATTCACCTCCAATATTTAAACAAATCCCTATTTTGATATCCTTGCTGAAAGTGTTTAAAAAAACCCATACCACAACCACTCTATAATGTTCTTTCCAGTGCATACCATTAATTACACCCCAACTTACTTTAGAGGCTCCATAGATTGCTATCAGTGGTGCTGGCTGACAACAGGCTATAGAAGAAATGTTCACAATTGCCCCTTTCTTCTTCTTTAGCATACCTGGCAGCACAATATGTGTCATCATGTTAGCAGAAGCAATATTTATATGGATCGCGTCCCACAGCACATCCTCAGACAGATTAGCAAAATAGTCCACGCATTCAGCAAATATTCCCACATTATTCACCAAAATCCCAATTTCTCTGTCTTTCAGAGCCTCTTTAATGGCTGGGTAAGGCTCACGGTCCTTGCTGAAATCAGCTACTATGAAATCTGTTTCCACTTTGTACGTTTCAGATATGCTCCTGGACACAGCCTCCAGCTTCTCCTTGTTCCGGCTGACCAAGACAAGGTTGACTCCCCGCTTTGCCAGCTCTTCGGCGTACGCCTTCCCGACACCATCCGTGCTCCCTGTCAGTGAAAACACCAACAGAATAAACAGGGGGAAAGACAGAGCAACCCCAGCCCTCTCTTTGACACTTCTTTCAGTTATAGCTCTGTTCTCTTTTTTGAGATCACGTGGTGCTGAATATGCTGATTTCAAAGCCACAGCATTGAAGACAACGTTGTCAGTAGCCACCTTCTGCAATCCCCCTCATACAAGTTCTATAGTTTCTGCGGCAACAAGAGAGAGCTCAAAGCACAATCTTAATGAAAGGCAGAGATGTCAGAGCTACAGGACTCAAACTGTGCTGAAGAACTACAGCACATATGAAAACACCATAGCAAAGAAAGGATCTCATCTGCATCTGTCTGCACTTGCAGGTGTTCATGATGCACCTTGTAAATTTTGGGGAAAATTGCTGTAATTCTTTCTCAGCAGTCAGTCAAATCACTTAGCTTGTCCATATGCTGAGGAACTGAACCTAGTAAGGCAATGAACAACAGCCACTCAAGCAGGTTAACCTGCAACCAGAGGTAATACAGGCCCCAGGCTGTGACATAAGCTCACCCAGCAGCACAAGCCACAAGTCTCACAGTACTGGCACAGTATGTTACATAAACATAGGTAAATATGACGCTTCCTCCCTTACCAGTGACCACGGCCCATTGCCCATACTGCTTGACGAGATCAACCTCACAGCCCAGCCTGGGCATAACATGCCACCGGAGCATGCTGTAAGCGTCAAAGGCCAGAGACACACACTTTCTGACGGTGTACCAAGCTCCAACAAGAGCCAGGGCTTCCATGTAGAAACTGCAGGAACGACTGATCTCCCTGTACAAGAGGGAGAAACGATCCACCGCTGCCATGGTGATCACAAGCCTGAAAAAAAAGAGACACAGGCAATTACAACCGGCTCTTGGGCCGTGCAAACTCTTCAAACTGAATGGATAACCTTTGAGATTCACCATGTTACAGTCTGAGCACTGCTTCGATACAGAAAACCCACAAGCCAGCCTGCTAAAATTTAAGTATCACCTGCCATCATCCTCACTGATTTAAGTACTCTTTAGCTCTTGTTCTAGTATGTCTAGCTATTAACCAGTTCTTAGCTATTAACCAGTTCTACTGCAATGACACTGATGGACGACACACCAGAAACAAAACTATGCCGAGCAGGGGAAGCTCAACGCGCCAGAACTAATTTTGGAAGACCAAGGAGTTCCTGCAAGGGAGGCAAGGACAATCAGCAGGAGAGAGCTGAGAAGCCAAAAAGCTACACGGGGAGGCAACGCAAGCTCCGAGACAGAACCTCACTCCCAGCGCATCTCCCGCTGCCCCCGAACGCCCTCACGCCTTTTACTGGGCAATATATCTCTAAACCAAGCACAAAGCCCAGCCGGTGCCGCCGCCGCCGCCGCCGCCTCCCGAGCAGGGCCCGATCCCTCGGGCCGCCACACCCAGCGGCCCGCACAGACCCGGGCTGCGGAGCCCCTCCGGTACAGCCGGGCCCCCCCTTTTGGGGGGGCCCGGCTGTACCGGAGGGGCTCCGCAGCCCGGCTGTTGCTCCTCACCCTCGTCCCGGTCCCTCTTCACCCTCGTCCCGGTCTCTCCTCACCCTCGTCCCGGTCCCCCCTCACGCCCGGGCCGGTCCCTCCCGCCGCCGCGCGGGGCCTTGTGGGCCGTCGCGCGCGCGGTCGCCATGGCGACGGTCCCGGCTGTGGCGGCGGCGGCGGCGGCGGCGGGGCCGGGTCGGACCGGGCCGGGCCGCTCTGCTCTCCCACCCCTTGCCCCTGCCGCAAAAGTCGGGGTTTTGCCCGCAAAACTCAGGCCCTGACGCGGGGGGCTGCGGGAATGGAAGCGCCCGCCTCAGAGCGGGACGGCGGCGGAGGGGAGGTGGCAGCGCCTGAGGCGCCGCCGGGCGACGGCACAGCCGGAGCTGCCCCCGCGGAGCGTGAGGGCAGAGCCGGCAGCGCAGGTGAGCCCCGGGCTGGCTCGCCAGGACCGGCTCGGGACACTCTGGCCGGCGCAGTGTGCAGACATCGTCTGCTGAGTGCTCATCTGGATGCCAGAGGAGGCTGTGCTTTCTCCCAGCAAAGCCCCTGGAAATCCTGCCATAACTGAGGCGTACTCAATTGCTACCTGCCTGTACCTTTTTTTTTTTTTTACCATTACCTCTGTTCCTTTACTTTCCGCTTGCTGGAGAGAGAACTTTTTCGCGTGTTGTGATCTCCCTGCTGGCCTGAGCTCTAAATCACAGAGCTGATATCGCAGAGTGTGGGTCAGGCTGGAAGGGACCGCAGTGGCCGGGACCATCTGGCCCAACTCCTGCTCAGGCAGCGCCATCCCAGAGCACACGGCACAGGATTGCATCCAGGCAGTTCTGGAATATCTCCCGTGAGGGGCACTCCACACCCTCCTGGCTGATCTGTCACCCCCACAGTAAAGAGGTTCCTCCTCATGATCAGGTGGAACATCCTGTGCATCACTTTCTGCCCCTTGCCTCTTGTCCTATTAAACAAGCCCCATTATTGTGTCTCAATTACAATCCTATTTAAATGAGCTGGTACAATCACCTTGTTCGTACTCTCTTTTTAAGTGTACGGTCTACAAGTGCAACTAGAAGGTCCAGAGCAAGATTCTGAAGAGAGAAATATTGAAACTGCAGTTAATCAGTGTAAAGACAGCGTGAAGGAGTGTAGCTCTGCAGACACCTTCCAAGGAGTGCCAAAGGGTAAACCTGTAGAAGAGCTAAAAGACAGTGCTTGGGATGACTTAGATACACCATTACCATAGTCTCTCTACATGCAAAGTTAAGAGTCTTGTCAAACACAAATTAGTGTTAATTAATTATAATACATGGTAGATGTCTAAGACCGTAAGAACATTGATTTCAGTACTTTATTGTCACTGGATGTTATAATAATCTTAAGACTAGTGAGTATTAATTGACTTCCAGATCTAAAAAAAAAAAAAAATAAATAGCAGATTTCAGCAGTTAAATTTGCTACTACTTATTTTATACTTTGCCTTCTAAAAACACTAAGTTTCATTAAAATGGTCAGCAAAAATCTTGGTTAAAACCCTCCTCTTCTTGAAGTTCACATTCAGGTGCTCTTCAATATTTCTGTAAAGTAGTTGGCAACATGGCACATTTTCCCTACCCTTGCTATTAAATTGCAACTCATTTTCTTACCTACAAAGATGTTAAAACTCAAGAGAAAGCTGTCAACTGCATGTCCAGAGCAGGCCAGCGGAATGAACAAAAACCAGGCGTTGATCAGGAGTCTGTGACCAGCTCATCCAGCCAAAGGACAGCCGAGAAGAGGGGCTCTGTGAGGTAACACACTGCTTGTGGGTGTGTTTGGGTTAAACCTTGGCAGCACTGAAGTCAGTGGGAGTTTGGCTACTCTGCTTGTTGATCTCAGCTCGGGAGAACAATTTTGCAGATGAACTTGAGAATAACTGATGAATCAGGATTAGTGATATTTCCAGCATCTGTACAGATGTTGGGGTTTTTATGGCCACAGTAGCAAACTGCATTCTAACCACGTGAGGTAGTCTATTTAGTGGGTCTGGAGAAAATTGTGCAAACTCACATCAAACAGGTAGAAATGAAAAGCCACTCTAAAAAAAACCCTACTGCTTTTTAAATTTGGAATGTAGTTTTGAAGGCTGTAGCTCTTTCTATTGCATGACAGAACTATTCATTGTGTTGCATTGGAATCTGTAAGGAAGCAAAAGATTTCAGAATGTGCACTGAAATACTTTTTTTTGCTTTGCTTCTGCTTCCTGTTATTATTTTAGAATGACAAAAAAGACTCTGCTGGACATCTGTAAACAGCAGAAATTATACTGGACCCCCTACTTAAATGATACGCTTTACTTGCATTATAAAGGTAAGATGTGGACGTGACTGTTTGGATTTATCATTCCAAGTGGCATTTTAGCAGAGAATCTGTTTCTTGGCTCACTGAAGTAAGATATCTAGTCATTCTTTTAAATTAAAAACGTAACTTAATTTTATATAATACTGGAATTGGGAAACAAAATGAAGGTAGAAACAATATGAAGGTAGAAAAATAAACTGATTATACATCTAATTCACTTCGTAGAGTCATTCAAGGGATCAGTAGGAATCAAGGGACATATTTTTGGTGTTTTTTCTTAAAACAATAGCCTCTGAGAAATGTCTTAAAATACTGGTCTGGGTTGCATTCAGAAGAAAATATATGTAATTAGGACATGCTGCCTTCTGCATTTGGCCTTGTTCTTACCATGTGTTATTTAGAATGAGAACCAGAACAGGTGCTGGGGTGGTTTTGCCCTGGATGGGCCAGGAACAGTGCCATTAATTCAGAGGAAACACTGTCAGTAGGTCCAGCACGAGTGTTCTCACAGGCTGCAGCAGCTCTGCTTCCATGGCATTGACTCTTCCAGAGAGCCCCTCTCAGCCATTTCATTTTCCAACCTCCTTTCCCTGCAGGATTTGACCGCCTGGAGAATCTGGAGGAGTACACGGGCCTGAAGTGTTTGTGGCTGCAGTGCAATGGCTTGAGGAAAATCGAGAACCTGCAGGCTCAGACGGAGCTGCGCTGCCTCTACTTGCAGCTCAACCTAATTGAGAAGATCGAAAACCTTGAGCCCTTACAAAAGCTGGACTCCCTCAACATCAGCAACAACTACATTAAGACCATTGAGAATCTCTGTAAGAACTGTGGGTGCAATGTTTTAACCTTGGCCAAGCCCACGTTCCTAAGCTCTGACTGAGCTATTAGCAGTGGCACTGGTTGCAAGGGATATTTTTATTCATGATAGACTTTTGCACAATATCCCACACCAAAGTCCACAGGGCTTCTGCTGAGGAGTCAAACCTGTGTATTTGCAAATTAAATAGATGAGAACGTAGGAACCACTTTCACGTGGATACCTAGAATAATTAAGTAGTGTTTTAGAATAATTAGGTAGTGTTTTCCTCACTTCTTAATACCATCTCAGCCTTATCAGTGTTGCAGACAGGCTGACAATCCAGCTTACTTTACAGCTAAGGTGTGCTTTGGCAGTTGCAGACGCAATTACTGAATCTCTTATGTCTGCTGAAAGATTTATTCTGCCTGCAGCAGAAATTAAAAAACGATGCCCCTACCTTACCACTTGCATACATTGGGGAATTTTGAAAGGCAACCTCTTGCTTTTGTGTAACTAATTAGTTTGAAATGTGAAGGAAAAACCGCTATCCCAAAACCAAATAGCTGTTTTTCCCAGGGTGAAGAAAGCAGCTTTGGAGGCCTAGCCAAAAAGTGCATGTGGGAGAACACCAAATTTAGAAAAAAGCTCCAAATTCAGTACAATGAGTCTGACCATGCAGTTTTTTACTTGCTCCAGGAAGCCCTCTGTGAAGCAACAACTCTTACCTTTCCTTTCCCTGCCCTGTTGTTGTCCCACAGCTTGTCTGAAGGTGCTGCAGACTCTGCAGATTGCTCACAATAAGCTGAGGACAGTGGAGGACATCCAGCACTTGCAAGAGTGCCCCAGTATTTCTGTCCTTGATCTTTCCCACAACAGCCTAAGTGACCCAAGTATTGTAACTATTCTGGAGACCATGCCTAATTTGGTAAGCCAGACACAGCTGAGGGTTCCTACCATGTGTGTAGGTGAGCCCCATGAGGTGGTTTTGTTGGGTAGTTCAGGCATTGTTCTAAAAAAAAACATTATTAACCATTATTTTATTTCTTGTTGATTACCTGTAACACTCAGGATGTTTTATTCACCTCTTGTTTTTGCAATGACAGGGAAAGTGCATGTCCAGAATGGGTTTTTTTTTGCTATTCAACTTTAAAAATTGTTCCCCTTTTTTCTGTAGCATGTGCTGAATTTGATGGGAAACGAGGTGATAAGGAAAATTGCTAATTATAGAAAAACACTTATTGTTCGACTAAAACAACTCACATATCTGGATGACAGACCAGTTTTCCCAAAGGACAGGTAGGAAACACAGCCTTGTTCATTACACAGCAATAAAGATCAAATGCTAATGATCACTCACACAATTCTTGTCAAAACTGTCATGGAAGGAAAGGAAGACTGACCAGTAAAGGTGGGTGACTTGGAGGACAGAGGTATTGTATTAGAGAGTTCTACATCTCACATACCTAGAAAAAAGCAATCTATTTTTTCACAAAATGATTCTTGAGAATGCTCTTATGGCAAGTCTGTAGAGCAGAGGCAGATCCTGATTTCAGCAGAAACTGAGCAGGTGTCTGGAAGAGCCAAGCCCAGCCCACACCAGTCTCTGGTGCTGTCATCACCAGCATCTGGCTATATTTATGGGTTTTGTTTCAGTTCCACATACAAGATGAGATACACATTCATCCCTGTTGCATAAGGGACTGTCACTGCTAAATGCTTTTTTTTCTATTTTCAAGCTATTTTAAATTTCTCTCTCATTGCAAAGATGGGCTTCTCTAGCTGCATTACAGTGAGCTTTTGTGCTTTCATTAGAGCCTGTGCAGAAGCCTGGGCTGTTGGAGGGCTTGAAGCTGAGAAAGCAGAAAGGGAAAAATGGGAAACCAGAGAGAGAAAAAAAATCCAAGATAGCATCGATGCGTTAGCAACCATCAGGCAAAAAGCAGAGGAAAATAAAAGGCAAAAGTGCATGGAAGAAAGAGA